CAAAATCGCCATCATCCACATCGAGCCCACGGACATGTTGACCTATGATATCCTGCGACTCTGGCGAAATGAACTGGAAAGTGGAGTTGACCTGGGAGCGGCCGGGCAGAGTCTCATCATCATGACAACTCTGCCAACGAGGACTATCTATCAGCCCAACTCTTCCATTTATACGAACGTAAGTGTAGCGCATGATTTTCAAACATTTTACTGGAGACCTCGCAGGTTTCTACGATATTCATATTCTTCTGGGGAGATATTTGGAAAGACAAGGCCGTAGTGAAAATACCAACAATTTATATTGAGCTGACTAAAGTTTGCAAATATTGAAAGCCTCAATGGGATTAGAACCTACGATAACAATTGTAAGACTTATGTTTAGCCAGCGCTCTAACCATTGGAGGTACTAGACTCCATTGACAGCCGCGAGAGTAATGGGTCCATTTGCCCGCCCAACACACTGCAGCATACGGAATGCGTAAATTCTGGTATGGAGAGAAGGACATTACCGGCAAAGTTTAAGCGGGCTGAAATGGCCATTTCTGACATATTATCCATCATCAGTCAGCAAAAGCTAGACCCGGGTGTTGCTACTCTAACGCGCGAACGTATTGCATAGTCATAATTCCGTACAGAATTAGAATAGAATCCACCAGATGACTACTAGGCGCACCGTTTATGCCCTTTAATCCTTTCCTCTCACCAGAAAATAAACCTAGCTACTGCGGCTGCGGCTGGATTGGCAATGCGTCTCACTCAACTAAACGTCAAGGCGGGCGGTGGCAAACTGGATCCAACAAAAGGCCTGTTTGAACCAATGAACAACCAGGACGTCTACGTACCCATCACCCCGAAGATCACCTTCCGTTTTGAGAACTACGGTACCAATGAGATCCGCGGTCTGTACAACATGTTCATTTTCTCTCTTAATCTGGAGGTCTCACGCGGCCGCCGGAATGTCTCCCAGATGACTTTCGATGAGATTTTCCTCCTGACCGACGTGATTCTTTGGCCACTGATTGCGGTACAGCGTGTGACCGACAAGGTTTGGCCTGGGGACAGCAATGGGCCTTGTCGCAACCCCTGCCTAATTTATGACTGTGAAATGGGTAGGTTGGACAAGCATGCTCTCCTGGGCGAGTGCGTTGCTTTATCGGTTTCTCATATGCGCCCTCTCTTTCTCTGTTTTTGCATGCAATTTAGCCGGCAGCGTTCAGGAAATTACTCTCATTATATTGGGAGGAATAATCATCATCGGGGTGAGCAATCTGGCCAGGATTGTCTACGTCAGGTAGGTTCCAATGGGGCATGTCCAAGTATGCAGGTCTTATTTTCTGTTTTTTTTTAAATAACTTAAAGGTTATGCTGTTTACATGAGGTCTGCGTGCTCGGTCAGGTCAGACACTTCTATGTACGGCATAAAACGGATAAAAT